CAGACGCGTCAGACAGAGCTTCCAACGTTCTAGATCCTGCGCCAAAGTCTGAGCTTCGGCAGAAGACAACTTGATTCTGGAACAAACTCCTTCCATATATTTCCACTACGTTAATCTTGGCCCTTCTCTGGCCCTTATACCGGTCGGTTTCGCAAGAAACAGATGCTTAGCGTTCCTTTCTGGAGTTATCCGCAACAACACATGCCCAAGCCTTTGTACCTGTCACTTCTCACAAAAGCTGTAAATCTCTCCCTAATGTCAGTATTCCGGACCATATCGAGACGCGAAAGTTCAGCGACTAGTCTAAGAAAGCCATGTCAGAAGCTTGTACCCCGGTTCGAAGCTTTTCAGTCATTATGCACGATTCATGACTGTAGGCAAGCATCGGGATAAAGATCGACTTCAATATTGACAGGTTTGTTTCCAGACTGAGCTCTGCTTTTGTCACAATAAATCGCGTCAGTTTACGCGGGACGCCGCTTGGCTAATCTACTTCGCCGGTCGATCTCTTCCACAAATTTTCCATCACTAGTAAATTCGACTTCGAGATACTTGAACTTCTCCACCGCCTCCGTTGCCTCTCCGTTAATCTGAAGAATGCAACGGACAGAACAACGAAAAAGCAGTAGGCATTTTGTTTTCGATGTCTTCACACGCATGCCTGTCACGTCGTACTCGGCTGCGAACCTCACCTGTGAGCCGTATAGATCAATTTCTGAAGATGCCAATAAAACAAGGTCGTCTGCAATAAGCAACCTTTTCTTCTTCACATCTCCTACATGGATATACCCATCGCCTTGGCTGCTACTTACCGCTCTATGTACAACACAAACATGAGAGGAGCAGGACGCAGGCTTGACGGAGACCAGTGCCAACGTTGAAGGGTTTCGACTTAACGCCATTTAGTCTGACGCAGCACCTGCTATCAGAATACCATGGATGGATGGCCCGTAACAGCTTGACATCTATCCCATATGCTCGCAAGTATGACTACAGACTGTTGCAAGGGATCCGATCATACACTTTCTCTATGTGAACAAGTCATATGTAAACCAGATGGGCAAACTCCAAAGATTTCTCAAGAATCTAACGCAAGGAAAATATATGATCAGAGGTGCTTTGACCGGGCTGGAAGCCACACTGATGTTTCTGTATCTTTGAGTCAAATTTTTTCGCGGCACCTCGTTTCTACACCTTTACATGGACTTTACCAGGGAAGCTCATTATCGTAATGCACCCTAAAATTGGAGCACTCCTTAATGTCTCCAATGTTGAATACGGGTACAATAATTCCCGTTCTCCAGTCCACTGGTGCGTTTTTCGTAGTCGTCGCAGTTTGACAGACACGTGTAAGCCAGCAGATGCCTTTTTCGCTTAATGCCTTGAGCATTTCAGGGCGGATTTCGTCAATTCCGGCAGCTTTTTCATTTTTCAAGCTTTTCACAGCCTGTGCAATTTCATCTACACGTCTTTCCCGCAGTCATCACAGTTTGACAGACACGTGTTAGCCAGCACATGCCTTGTTCGCCTAATGCCTTGGGCATTTCAGGGCGGATTTCGTCAATTCCGGCAGCTTTTCCATTTTTCAAGCTTTCCACAGCCTGTGCAATTTCATTTACAGAGATTGTAAAATCCGTCACTTGCTGCTCTACACGCGACTCTTCCTGCGGTTGCTCGGGATTAAGGAGTTCCACAAAGTACTCCCTCCACTGCCGATGAATATCCTCATCCTCTGTAAAACGGTTTCCAGGCATGTCCGTTAGGACTCTTACACCGCCTTTCTTTTAACCTCCTAAGCTGTGTGTGATCTATCAGAATACCTTATTTGCCGTCTGGAAATTCGAATCTAACACCTCACCGAACATTTTCCAGGAATCAGTTTCGGCTTTCGCCACTGCTTTCGCTGCCGCCTTCCGCGCCTCGAAATATCGCATGTGATTAGAAGGCTCTTTGTTTCTA